TTCTGTTTGGGTTATTCTTTTCTGTGGGGACTGGAAAAAACCTTGAACTGACGAGGTCTTTAGCCTTTTTGAGGCATTTAATGGCAGTCTGCCCATTAGGGTTTGGCCTCAGATACTGCATTTGGTATACTCTACTTTTTTTTTTTTTTTTTTTAAACTAAGCTATTGTTCTCTCTCTAAAATGTTCTGGAATATTATCCCAAGCAGTATTTTGTTCATTGCAAGTTTGGATGTTTTGCTTTCCCATGCCCTCCTGTGGACCTCCTTTCTATTTATCTCTGTCTTGGGCTTCCTCTGCCCGCATTGACTGAGTGGCTAACAAAAGCAGTGGTTTTAAAGAACTTCAGCCATCAGTAAGGTTCATGAGCTCCAGTCTCAGAGAAGGTTCAGTAATAGTTCAAAATGAAATGACTGCGTGGAACAGAGTGGCAGGTTGAATCATGAGCACTTAGATCGAGTCAGGACACTTGGTTTCTAGACCCCTGACTATTTTATGACCTTGACCAAATTCACTCTGAGGAGTGGTTTCTTCATCTACACGAAGAGGAGGTGCACCAGGTGGGCTCTCAGCTTTGATAATCTTGATTATATTCTAAGCCTTATGTGTTATTTTTCAAGTGATTTTGAGGCTACCTCCTTTTACTCCACCGAGGAGATATTGAGTTTGATGCTTACATGACCATGTTTTGTTTTATGTTTTTTAGTTTATATTTTGTTTTATGTTTGACATTAGTAATAAATGTACATAGGAGAACTTCAAACAGTACAGAAGAGGAAAAGGAAGATATCCTCCCATCCCTGACTCCCAGTTTCCTCTCCAAAGGCACCACTGTTACTTGTTTGTTGTGTATCCTTCTAGAGAGATTTGCCCTATATGTATACTATGCCAGCCCCTCTCGTTCTAACTAGGTAGTAGTATGCTCATACATACAGTTCTGTCCCTTGAATTTTCCCCCACTGAACAATATTTCTTAGAGGTTGTTCCATATTAGTACTTACAGAGCTCCCTCATTCTGTGCAATAGTTAACATAGAATCCTTCGGGGTGAATGGATCACAATCTCCCATAGGTGGACATTGTTTTTAGTCTTTTGCTATTATAGACTCTACTGCAGTGAATATTCTTGGACAAACTTCTTTGTTTTTGTGTGTGCCTTACCTTGAAAACAAAGCCATTGTCTAAGTTCCACTCTTTTTCAGCCTCTGCAGTTAATGGCTGGAGGTGTTTAGTCTGAATTGTCAAATCTAAATTAAGCGGAAGAAAGCAACATCACCATTCCTCCCTGTGGATGTCTCTGTAAGGGCTGGTGTTTTGAAGACTAACAAGGGCGTGGTTTTGGAAGAGCTCTTCTCCAAGTCTTAAATCCCCCAGATGAGGATGCAGACATCAATAAAATCTGCTGAGCAGTATCTGGTTGCTATGTGGAGTTGAGTAACAAGAGTCCCCTGTGAGTAAACCCGGTTCAGGATTTTATACACTGACAGAGCAGTCTTCTCAAATCACTGAAGATAGTCCGGCTCCAAGTTATTTGTCATATCAATAAATTACCAGACCCAAGTCAGTTTTTAAAAATTGTCAAAGTATCTGTGTTATAAAAATTAATGTAGAGTTAATAACCTCTAATCTGCCAACAACTACAACAGAAACTATGCTTCCAAACCTTTTTTTTTTCCTTGACCTAGGGAATTTCTGGTATTGGAAATATTCAATTTACACATTTCTCTTATAGAAACCATTGGACATCTTTTGTCTATAGTAGTTATATAAGAAAAATATGGGCATAATTTTTCAGAAGGCTCAGAAATGACTGTCCTTGGAAGTAATCAGTCCCAGTCTTCCATCCAAAGCTACCTCCCCTTGGCCCGAAAGAAGTCTAATGGATTAAACACCTCTGGATATCTGTACTTTGTCTTACTTGAATCTGTATTTAAGAGTACTTTTTAGCAGGCTCAGGCTTGGTTAGTACTTGGATGGGAGACCATCTAGGAAGACCAAGTACTGTAGGCATAAAAAATAAAAAAATAAGAGATTGTAAGCTGACAAGGTCCTTGCAATCTGTGAGGTCAACCAAGGGTTGCCTCACCTAAAAAAAAAAAAGAGCTCTTTTTTTCCCCGCTGTGATACAACGTGTGTACTACTATTCAGTCCTTTAGATAGAGATTGTGATTATCTTTTAACAAGCTATAGAATGAAATACTCATTTCAGTTATTTTGGCATCAGTCATGACTTCTTTTTTTATGTTCTCAAGCTAAGACCACAAGAAATGCCCAGGTGGTTTCATTCATTCCATCATATCATTTACTGAGCCTCCCTCTGTGCCAGGATTAGTGGCAGGTGGTGAGAATTCTTTGTGGTGGGTTTAATTCAGGAATGGAAACTTAACTGTTTAGGCAGAATACTCCAAATATTCTTACCTTCCCCTTCAGTAGCTTGTTGTTGAGCAGAGTTGTCAATCTATTCAAACCCTCCTTGAACCCTTCCTGTTTGTAATTTGGACAACCTTTGGGCCCAGGGCCTGGTTTTGATGACCTGCTGTCTCAGTGGTACTTCCTTGTTATCAAAAACAAACTATATTTAGAGGGTTGCTCTCAGTTGTTCCTTTTCTTCAGTCTAAGGTGAGGCAGAGGTCAGCCAAGGACAGTTGAAAGCCCAGGTGGATGGGGGTTTCAAGAGGCCTCAACTTTGCCCCTGGTTCCACCTGCCACTAAGCAGAGCATGTTTCTTCACCTCTCTGGGTTTCAGTCTCTCTTCCATAAAATGAAGGGATGGACCAGATAATCTCCAAGGTCCTTTACAAAGCCTAGCATTCTAGTGTTCCACAGCCACATTTCTTCATGCATTTCTTCCAGCAGCCTGTTAGTTCATGTGAGGGCAGGAGCTATTTATCCAACTACAAACCCTGGTACATAGTGAGAATGCAATAAAGATCTGAGTGAATGTATAAATAATTTAAAAAATTTTTTATTTTGTTTTTACCCTCCTCTACCCTGAGCTGGAGGAAGTTCCTGCCATGGGATTAATTGTTCCTTAAAGAAACCATTTCTTTTATAGAAAATCTTCATTGTTGGTACTATCTTTCGTGCATGCGTGCGTGTGTGTGTGTGTGTGTGTGTGTGTGTATGTATGTGGTCTACACATACAATTATTACATAGTTGATTAGGCTACTTTAAAATTTATTTAAGGAAATTTAATTATAAAACATGTTTCCACATAATATTCATAGCAAACTAAAGATCAGAAATATTTGGATTTTAAGTAAAATATGCCAATAATTTTATCTTTTAAAAATAGTAGTGTCCAATATAGTGAAGTTTAAGAGTTTTTTTCTCAGAAATGAAGTGAATATATAAAATTATAAGTTGTTGCCTTAGGCCTTGACTTAGGAACAAATAGACTGAAAAGTGTGATTTTCATTATTACAGGATATTGCATAGGCAGAAGTTAAGCAAATTTGACTGATAAACTGTTTTGAGTAAAACTAGCACTTTTTAAAATGCATTTTTTTGTGAGGATACAATTATAGAATTTTTTAGATTTTTTTAATTCTTTTTTAAAATGTTGGTAAATGCAGATAAATGGAAAATCTTTAAAAAGCATTAAACACTTTTAATGCCTTTATCTAATCACAGACATGGTTAACATTTTTATGCAATTTCTTCCTCACTAATTTTTCTCTTTGCAAAAACTGGATCATTTATTCTCCGTCCGTTATTTGTTCCTAAGCTTATTAGCTCATGCTTCTTTGGGGGATTCTTTTTTAACAAATCATTAGCGGATCCTGCTTGTGTGTAAGTACCCGATCTAGGTGCTGTGTTTTACATGTTGCTTGTCAATTTACTCATTTATCCTAGATGTTATTATACACCCACCACATATCAATGATCACATGCTTCCTTAGCTTTCCCATAAACATACAGGTTGTCTGAACAAGAGCACACACACCCAAGTGTCCTGGTGAAATTATCTCATATGTTGTTGGAAACTTTGTAGAATCCATTTTTGGCCACTGTATTCTATGAAATGCTTCAAATGTAACTGTAGACACAGGGAAGATGTGAAATAAGATTCTTACCAGCACAAAAGCTGAGACTGATGAGTCAGCAGTGAGGCCACTGTCTGAGTCTCCTTGAATTGAATTAAGGTAATAATTACTTGAACAGTAATGATTAACAGGGAAGTACTTTGGAAGGAATCTCAGGAATCTATACTCCACAGCACAACACATTCTGATGGTCTCTTTTTGATAAGGAGTTGTAGGCCCTTGTCATTAATTGCCTTGATGTTCTTCCCTCCTGTAGTAATGAATCACCAACACCAGCAGCAAATGGCACCCAGCACCCTGAGCCAGCAGAACCACCCTACTCAGAACCCACCGGCAGGGCTGATGAGTCTGCCTAATGCGCTGACTACTCAACAGCAGCAGCAGCAGAAACTTCGGCTTCAGCGGATCCAGATGGAGAGAGAGAGGATTCGAATGCGCCAAGAGGAGCTCATGAGGCAGGTATGGCCTCTCGTGATGCCCAGTGGGGGTTCATGGCTGTGGTGCCAAAGCTAGTAGGTAGGTAGCCACTAGCCATCAGGGTAACTCTTTCTCTAGAAACATCAGAGGTCTAAAACTCCGCTCCAGACGTCTCCCAATGTCTGGCTGCACTGTCTTCAGAGCCGCCCTTATGAATACAAGGACTAGCTATATTAGCATGGCTGCCTTTGGCTTCCATTGCCAGTCTATTGAAGGAGAGAAAGAGTATGTTCCAATTTTCTATTGCTGTGTAACGGATTATCGCAAAATTTAGTGGCTTAAAACAGTAACCATTTTATTATACCACGCAGTTTTGTGGGTCAGGAATTTAGGCAGGGCTCAGCTGGATTGTTCTTCTGCTCTGCATGGCGTTGGCTTAGGTCACTTAGTGGTGTTCAGCTGGTGGGTAGGCTGGACTAGAGGGTCCAAAGTGACTTTACTCAAGTGTGTGGCGCCATGGTGAAGGTTCCTGGAAGAGTGGACTTAGCTAGAACTAAACCTGGAGCACCTGCATATGGCACCTCTAGCATGGCACTCTCAGAGTAGTAGAACATATTACATAGCAGCGTGGGTCTCCCTAGAGGATGTTTCAAGAGACAGGGAATGGAAGCTGCCAGTGTCTCAGGGAAATGTCACAGAGTAACTTCTGCTATATTCTCTTGGTCAAAACATCAGAGAGCTTGTGCAGTCCCCCCTCCCCACCACCCCCATCACCAATTAGAGCAGCTAGCAGAGAAGATGTTCTATGGAAAAAATGACAGGGAACCATCTTTGATCGCTATGGAGCATAAAAAGAGGGAAAATTGAGGGAGGATGAGAAATGCAGATAGTTTGCATATAGATTCTGATAGAATGGTTTGTGAAACTGCCTGGGCATTGATCAGGCACCTTTGTGCCATACTGCATTCATTCATTTATTCGTTCAAACAGTCAGTCAACAGATTGTTGTGTATCCTTTGTGAGAAAGGCTCAGTGCTATACCTCAAAAACGGAATAAAGAGAATCCTTGAAGCAACCCACAGTTTTCTCCCTGCTTCAGTGACTTGTTCCATGCAAGAGGGAATTCTTTCTTCCAAGTTGCTAAACTAATGGTAGCACATGTTTTCAAGTCTCATAAATTTTGCTGGCTACATTTTGGGGAGGAAAACTTCAATTTATTGTTCTAGTTCTTCAGACTTTGCTTTATGATTCAAATGAAGCAAGATGCATGGGTAGCTTCCTTTCACTAGTTTTTAAGGAAATAAGTAGTTTTAACTGTTCCAGAGAGCTTTCTTACAGGGGCTCAGGGGATATTTGGGTGAACACTATTTTTTTCTTTAAATTACATCTGATACTTGAAAAAATATATGCATTGGCTTCTATAAAGGAATAAAGTATTTTTCATCAAATAAATTCTAAGATATAGGCTTAAAAAACATGGTGAATTAAAATAATTCTTTAGACATAGCCTTTGAAAATGAGGGAAGTGAACATAAATTGTGCTTTGTTCAGTTGAACTATCTTCTAAATCTGGGGAATACAACTTTACAATAGAACTACAGTTGTGCCTTTTATTCTGAGGATTTATGTCTGAACTTTCATGGTTATTTCAGGGTAACAGTTATTTATACTGTTTTTAGATAAGCAGTATCATGTTTCTCAGTAGGAAATAATTAAATTATTATTTTCTGTCTTTGAATAATAATTTCATCTGGAATAACACTCTATTTGATAATATAGAATAAATTAAACAGTATTATAGTAGCATTTTAAGTTTTCTCTTAGTTTTATATTTAAATGAACTTTAAAGAGTTTTTTTCTTTACACAGAGCCATGACCGTTCTGTAGAGAATGGCTTGTTTCTCAGTTTCCACCTCTTTCTGTGTTTCTCTTTCTCTTGCCCACCTCTTTCTTTCCCACAGAAAGTATTTCTGAAAAGGGGTGGGTAAAACTGCCCCAAATTGTTTCCTCTATTCTAACCATAGGTGCCTTTGAACTAGAATATAGTATTGATGGTTTATATTACAGAAATGCCAACCAAGTTCCTTAAGTGCTGATCCCTAGAGGCTGTGGAATTTGGTGCATTTTGCTGCCTCATGGTGTGTAATTCCACTGTGTAGGACAGTGGGGGAGAAAAGCTGTCCAAATTCATTCACAGAGGCTCACATAGTTCAGCTTTGACATGCATGTGTGTGTGTGGGTGTGTGTGTGTGCGCGCACGCATGTGTGTAGTTAGGAGGAGGATAAGGAGATGGAATGGTTGGGTTGATGTCTTGTTATTTTTATTATGGGATATAGGATAAAAGGTCTAAAGGGACTTTTTAAGTGTGAAAGATTTTGTTCATCATACAGAAACAGCCTGTTCCTCAGTGTCAAAGATTTATTTAAGGCCATACAGTAAATGGTGTTGGAGTGTTCTATGACAGTTTTCGGGGCATTTGCCAAGATGCCTAATTGTTCAGGTGTGGATTATCTCTATCATATTGGTGGTTTTTCTACCTCTTTTGTGTGTGTGTGTGTGTGTGTGTGTGATTTTCTGCCTCACTATTGGCACTTAAGTCAGGGCAGGGGCAGGGAAATGATTGGCAGTAAAAGTGTTATTTGGCTGACCTGTTAGCAACCTTCTAGCATCTGGTAGAAATGCTGGGATGGAGGAAACTGGTGGCCCTAATGAGGTCTGAAGGTTGCCTGTGCACTTTAGGGTACTCATTCTGTCCACCCCCATGTCCTTGGTAGTCAACAGCTGCCTAAATGCCCTTAGCTCCCTGGGCAGTGATACCCTCTTGCTTGCAGGAGGGCCTTAGTTGTATAGCCTGGCTTCACAGGGTCTTTGCCCTGCAGGCAGGCCTCAACCTACCTGCAACTCTGTCAAGGGAAAATTTCCGGAATAAAGATCCTTCCCTATCTCTAGCTCTGTAGTAGGAAGGGAGGTTGATAAATTCAATAAGTAGATGAATTTATTCCTAATTCTTGGGAAATCATCACTACTCTATATTTTTATCATTATTAAATATATGATAAATGTGAAAGCTACATAAATATTGTTTCATTTTTCCTCCTCCTCCTTCCTTTTAACTTCTTCCTTCTTCCATCCCACTAATCCTCTAGGTGTATAGTCTGATGATGTTGCACCATGGAGAAAACTGCTCCTTAGTCCTTGTTGCACAGTCTGAAGTATACCTCATAATGCCACAGGCTCAAATGTTAACTCATTGTCACTGAAATCATGTCAGGTTATTAGCAAAATGGATTTGAGGATTACCAATCTAAAGTCAACCTCCGTTATTTCATGATGAAAAAAATCTTAGTTTCTTTCTTTATCTCTTCATTCATTTGTACAGCTAACATATATATGAAGTGGAAAACAATAAAAACATAAATGGGACATGGCTGCCCTTAGATAACTTATATTTTAGCAGATGAGACAAAATGATTAAATCTAATCCAAATTATCCAAATTGTTGACTAGGCAAGTGAATTCAAAGCATTCCTTACTTCAAGGAGTCCAGGTGGCTGTCATCTTTGACTTTCATTACTGGAGCAGAGACCAGACACACCAGAGCACAGAGTTCTGTGAAATTGAGCATAAGATGCTTTCTTATTTATTTATTTTTTTCAGTGGCTCTTCAGTCCAAGTTTTTGAACAGCTACAAAATTAGGATCCAAGGGCCAGTGAGGTTTGGTATCTCCACAGATTAGGAATCTTCTGAAGCAGGAAAGTTTCATTAAAAATAGTCTTTACAGTTTAGCATTGGCTGCTGTAGCAACAGAGTTGAATTACTTGTATCTAATAATTGATGAATTATCTTGGAATGTGGCAGGTGCTCTACGGGGAAGGGTGCCATGAGTGCAAGGGGGATCCCAGCCAGGTCTGCAGTACCTTGCCTTATTAGGAAAGTAGAACTTACCCGACTTTCAGCAGGCATCTGTCACAGACATTGTG